AGGAGTCCCCCCCACACAAAAACGGTATTTGGAATCAGGCCTCAAGTACATAAAATAGACAATAGAATTTGGTACTTAAATTTAAAAATACATATAAATAACTTAAGACATTCAGGCTCAGAGGCATACATAGCCAAATATTTCCCTCTGGTACAGGGAACAGCACAGATCCACATCCGGTACTATGGATCCAGAACACAGAAATTAGCATTTCTGCATTTAATATAGGAAACGTATTTTGTATTTAATACAGGAAATGTGCCCATTGCAGGCTCTTTGGGACGTCTCCTGCGCCCCATTGAAGGCTCATGGAAGATACAACTCGTAAGGTAGAAATCTTTGGGAATTATAGATCTATAGTCTGGAACATGACCTAGTTTCATATACATTCACAGCATATGGCAAAGATTTCTTGGCTGGGTCTATACTGCCAGGGATATGTAATGGCAAACTCAACCGCGGGGTGAGTGAACACAGGCTCTGGGGGTCCTTGCTCTCCGGTCTGGGGTTGTCTCCCTTGGCTTGGATCTGCTCTCCAGCCAGGAGCAAAGAGAGGGGAAGGAGCCGTCAGACTCAGCCCTTGAGCAAGGACAGAGCCAATGGGATCCCACAGGCTGGCAGGAAAACTCCAGTCTTGGCTCAAGCACGGTGAAGGCGGCGGAGATGCAACATCACGTGCAGGGTGTGCAGTAGATACCCAGCCCCACATCCTCACTTCCCCTGCAGGGAAGCCTAGACTTCATCGCACGACCCATTCTCTTCCACAAAGGAAGGCCCGCAAGGAACAGCTCAGCGCAGAGGTACCTTCATTTGGGTTATTCCTTGCATTTCCTTCAGACGGAATGTGTTGGTGGGCAGCCCCAAAGGCTGGAAATCCTCTGGTGGCCACCAGACGGCAGAGCACGGAGGAAGCGGCTCTGCAGGGATACAGGTCAGTGGTCCATGGTGAGGGCACAGATCGCAGCAGGATAAGCTCTTTGGCTACAAGGATACTTGCCCACTAGACATGGGCTGGGGGAAAACAGGCACACAGGACAAGTTCTTGCTGGTGACATTGAGGTGATCGGCCCTCTAGGCCGTCAACCATCCCCTGAGCAAAAAGCAAATGTTCAATTTCTTTTCCCCTCTGGGTTTCCTTCAGACCCGTTACATACGGGGTCTTGTGGGGTTTTTCATTTGTTCGGTTTGGTTTTTTTTTTCATGTTAAACTTCTACAAAAAGAAAATATGTTCTTTGGCACTTGTGCAACTAGGATGCCTAGAGAGGACGCTCTGCTGCCCTTGGAGGGCTTGTTGAGCGCATCCCTACAGCTCCATACACGCAGAGTCCGTGTCCACCCGCTGGGCCTCTCCGAAGAGCAGGAAGGCACAGAGGCCCACGCTGTTGACAACAGCCACCAGGCTGAAAACAGAACCCCAAGAGCCAGTTGTTTCGATGAGACAACCGGCCAAGTAGACGCAAATGACACCTGTGCACAAGAGGGAAGGGACAGCGCTGCAGGGGCTGGGGACGGGTCCTGCCGGGGGCTCCTCGGGAAAGCCGGAGCCGCCGGGAGGTACCTTACCAAGCAGAGCTCCTCCAGTATTTCCAACGCCTGGAAAGGAAAGAAAGGGAAATTGCTCAACGGCTTCAGCTCACAGGAACCCCACAATGTGAGGGTTACACCGGGATTCCCGCCCCGTGTGCTGAGCAAAAGGCCTCACTGGCAGCAAGGATGCTCCCATCTGTCTGCACACGCAGCAATTTCAGGAGCGGGAAGGCATGGACATGCCATTCCCACTGCCGGAGTGGCAGGATCCACAGGCAAGGAGGTGAGGATGCACAAGGTGCAATGTGTTTCACCACGCGCCATCCCCTCGCACACGCAGGATGTCCCGCCAGGATGGAGGGGACCGCGGGATCCTTACCGAACAGCAGGCCAGCACACGAGGGGGCCAAATCCTGCACGTTCACTGAAATGCCACTGTTGAGAAATAGGGAGGGGGAAATAAAGGCTGATTTAATGGAACAGGATCGTCTTTTTTTTTCCTTTGCACATAGTCCAGTTTGCTACCCCAAAGCAGAGGATCCTAGGCAGGGAATGGCACTGTGAAGAGAAGCAAAGATGGAAAGTGACTGAATGTGAAACTACATGGGAGAGTAACAGAAGGAAACGGATCTGATTCAAAGCAGCTCATTTAAAGTACTCAGAAGGACAAAATTCACGTTCTGTTTCATGCACTACCACCTTCCAGGTGGTCACTAAAGCCCACCAGCCTTGGAGGAACCAACATAGGACACTGAGACCGGGGGTACCTGCCTTGGTAGCCCCCCATGAGGAGCAGCATCCTCACGAGGACACGGCCAGTGTCCTGATCGCTCCCATTACCTGTGGTTAAAGGTCTGAAGTCCCACAGAGGCCGAGGCAAACACGATGGCTTTGCAAAAGCTGGATGTCTGCCCTAGGCACAGAGCGAAAATGCTCGACACACCTGAGCCGATGACCTGGGAGAAAGAGAAAATTAAATGCCACAGCAGCATTTCTGGAGACAAATTGCTCCCTTGTAAACACGCCAGGTGCTTCTCCGGCCTTTTTTTCTGATTTTGGGCTGCCTTTTTGGGTGCCAAAGGGCACTATGCAGACACTATTGCAGGTTTTGAAGGTTAAGCTGTGCTCT